CATCTGGTTAGGATGCCTCCAGGACGCCTCCCTGGCGAGGTGTTCCGGGCATGTCCCACTGGGAGGAGGCCCAGAGGAAGACCCAGGACATGCTGGATTGTTTGTCTATGTTTCTCTGCTGGCCTGGGAACGCCTTGGGATTCCCCCAGATGAGCTGGCCCAAGTGGATGGAGAGAGGGAAGTCTGGGTCTCTGTGCTTAGGCTGCTGCCCATCGACCCGACCCCAGATAAGCGGCAAAAGATGGACGGACGGACATCTTTTTTCTAAAAGTACGCCATGATATTTTCCATAAACTGTCAATGGATACTGTYGCCTGTTTAAATATTTTTTATCTCATTTGAGATGTCAATGTTGAAGCAAAATTAGTGAAAATTAATAAATTAATAGAGAAAATACTTAAAAAGCTGGACATGTTTGCAAATTAGTGCTACAGTAACCTTCAAAAATACTATTTTGAATCCAAACATTTTATTGAACTGAGTTATTTATATGTTTGCCAATAAAAAAAATGTCATATTGAGTATTATAAGGGAAGGAGCTGTGTTTGCGACACACACGTTGGGCAGAAATCCCAACATTCTCTAATCACCAACCTAGACGGCCAGATCTCTTCAGTCATTTCATGTCCATGTGTTCCTAAATGCTTCACCAAATGTCACATCCAGTTTTATCTTTCTGGCTTGGTCTTTTTTGCAGCAAAACTCACTCCTACATTTCAGGACTGCTTCCTGCTAATCCTTGTTATGCAATTGCATCAGCAAAAGACTAATGCAAGCTTTCTATCATTATAAATGAGCAACTTCAGTTTAATCAGTTTGGGATGCTGTTGTGATGTAAGATGATTTGGCATGATTTTTTTTTTAATTATACTTTAGTTCAAGCCAGAAGTGGCTTTAAATCTGTGTACCTGAGGTTAATAMTAAAACAGATCAGGAAAGTGAACAGAACTAGACAAAGTTCACATTTAATACATGATTTGTGGTTGTAGTTTGTAGATTTGGCTCTAATCAGCGCTTTTATTCAAAAAATGAGTTTCCCTTTACTAATAACTTATGAGTGTGTTCATTCATCTGCTTTGTTWGCTAAATTAAACTTTCATAAAGTAMACATCGAGTTGACATCTAAAAGTGATTAACTAACGAAGTTAACCCAATTTAACATGACTGACACAGACCACTGACTTGAACACAAAAATGCATGCCTATGGCAGACAGACATGGAATTTTATCCACATTATTTTAGCTATGCATAATAMATTTGAGAGATTTATGAAAGCATGGCCAAAATGACTGCTCCATTTAAAAGGCACGGAACCAAAACTGAATTATAATGCCTGGGTGGATCAGATATATTTATATAGTCTATTTTTATTTTATATTTATTGGTAACAACAAAACTCACAATCTGAAACACTGTTAATGACATCATATTACATATTTTTCTGCAGGTTTTGCATCACATTTTTGCCGATCCATAAACACTAAACTYGTGGACAGTGACTGGTCTACATCAGGGATGACCCTGAACCAACAGAGAGACACTTTCCTTCCCATCTCAGTGGGTTTGTCAGATCAGACCAATGGAACAGCCTGGTGAGAAGGCCCTACCAGTCACAGAGGACCAGCATCCTCTTGCAGCATCACTGCAGCATCCTTTCTAAACATGCTCWGTAATGTGGGCCAATCGGTCGAGCAGAAACACTATAACTGAATCTGATGCTTGATTATAGCCAATTGATGGAAATATCCGTGTGAGAGGAAAGCAGGAAATAGCTCGTGCTTTAACTGTGCAGGAAAATGGCTATAAAGCGCATAGAACCGAAGAAGGAGAATGTTGATGCAGGAGCATCAGCTTGGCTGTAAAAAATAAAAAATAAAAAAAGCTGTTCCATCATCATCATCATCATCATCATCATCATCATCATCATCAGTGGGCTTCCCGATGTGTAGGCCCCCGACATGCAGACTAAAAGCACCGCTCTGCGGCCAAACCCGGACCCGTCCAGCCCCCAAACCCCGACGAGACGCGGTGGTCGGCTCTGTAGCAGCAGGCCTTTTAATAAGCCCGTCTTCACAACATATGCTGCTGAGGTGAATCTGACTCCAACAACCAGCAGGCCTCGCTTATCCGAGTAATTCAGACCGCGAGCAGGGAAATAAAAACGCGAATTCCAGTGACTCACCTCCTGATGAATCCTGATCAGGTCAGGTGTGACATCCTAAGAAAGCTCGACCCATGGTGGTTTATTAGTTCGGATCGGCTCCCTCCTCTCTGATCTGTCTGGATCAGCAGCAGCAGCAGCAGCAGCTCGTACAATGAAGCAGTGATGGCCGGTGGTGATGATGCTGGGAGCCCCGCCCTCCTCTCCGTGCAGCCAGGATGAGCTCACTGAATTTACAGCCTGGCAGCTTCCCCCACGAGCACGGAGCAGAAAATCCCCCCATCTCCCCCACGATTGTTTATTTGCACACGTCAGATTCTGAGAAATAATGAAGACACATGCTTGAATTGCTCCTGTTTGATCAGGGGATTGCCCACAATAAACTTCCTGTAGAACATTATTGTTTTATTTCCATTTATCTTATAGGATGTGTTTCAGAGTTTGGCTTCCAAAGTTTCATTTGGTTGGAATTTTATAGACATTTTCAAGAAACTTCAAACCTACATCAACATCTTGGGCTTTTTCCTGTCTTGTGTTATCTGTCCTTCAGTCAGTCCTGTTCATTGGACCCAGAATGCAGGCAAGACACAAGCAGTTCCAAAATAAATATGAAAAAAAAAAGTGGCAGCATGAATTGCCTCACTGCAAGAAGGTCCTGGATTCAGTCTCCGGTTCAGACCATCAGACCAGGGGTCCTTCTGTGTGGAGTCTGCATGTTCTCCATATGTCTGCATGGATTTTCATTGGGTAGCTACTGTGGTTTCACAGACCAAAAACATGCATGTACAGGTTGCCCTTTCGGCCCAGGCCTCCCTTGCGAAACTGATTATATTTGCC